CCATTAGACAACAACTCTCCCATACCTGCTCCCCCACAGTCCCTGAAATCCCCCATTCTATTTCCTGTCTCTACAAATTTGACTGCTCCAGTTATGCAAGTGGAATCACACAATATTCATTCTTTTGTGAGTGACTTATTTCATTTGGCATAACGTCCTTAAGGTTCATCCACATTGTAGCATGACACAGAATTTCCTTCCTTTTTAATGCCGAATAATATACCATTGCATGTATAAACCACATTTTGTGCTCATCAATTTATCAGTTGACAGACATTTAGGTTGCTTCCACCTTTTAGTTATGGTGAATTCTCTGAGTTCTTTGGAGAGAAAGAGTAAGTGTGTATAACCCATTTTGCAATAAACTTTAACTTGCTTGTGAAATCCCTTCTTATTCTTGTCTTCCCCAGGACAAAACAAATAAAGCTTCTCTAGTTTTTCCTTATAATTTCCCTACCCATTTCCTCATCCCTATACCTACTATAAATGTCTCCAAATTCTGTTCACCATTTAAAGGTGAAGTCGGTGGCTCAGCCTGTAATCCCACGCCTTTGGGAGGCTGAGGTGAGTGGATTGCCTGATCCCGCGGGTTCGAGACCCGCCTTGGGCAGCGAGACCTCATCTCTACAATAAATCAAAAAATCAACCGGGTGTGGTAGCACATGCCTGTAATTCCGGCTACTTGGAAGGCTGAGGCGGAAGGATCGCTGGAGCCCAGCAGGTCGAGGTTGCGGTGGCCGGGAGCACTCTAGTCTGGGCGACAGAGTGAGACTCCAACTCAAAAAAAAAAAAAAAAAAAGGTGAAGTTGAAATTGTCTGCACTGCTTAGCCTGGAAATTAAGTCCTCTTAGAACCTACTCTCCCATCATCTAGTTGAATTTCTCACTTTCTGCCCTCACCTGTTCTGTCTTCAGGCAAACCTCATGTGTCTTCTCATTGCACAATTTTGAGCTCCCATAGCCTGTCTGGTATTTATATAAACCTTTCCTAATCCTGGAAGAGATCTTTCACCACCCCTCCTGAGTCCAGGATGTTACACAGAGCAGAGTCACACTATGTACTTTACTCAGGTAAGGGAGGAAAATTTCCAAGTTCTAAACACTTTGAAATGTGGTATTTGTGCATTTTGTTTTATATGATAGATGAGTACTTTTTTTGAACATTAAAGCCCAAATAGAAGAAAATGTATAAGGAAATTAAAAATGAGATTGTAGTTTAAAGAATCCTGTTGTGAGTCCTTTTACATAACAACCATTCTCTATAATATAAGCTTCATTAGGGTTTATTTAGACTACTACTTCTTTCTTTTTGCAGATAGATAGATTGCAGGCAGCTTATAGTTAAGCCTGACTTCCCACTCCCATCCCGTGCAAAATCAGTCCATTTTCTTCATCCTGTAGATGACAGTAATTAATGCACTTTCTTTTGAAATTCTTTTTTTAGCTGTTTCTTTTTCAAATTCCTCTTAGTTTGGATAGCCCTTTTCCCTATTCTATTGAGATTATTTAGAATATGGCTTCTTATTTCAGAGGTCTTAGCAGTGCTTCCTCTGGTCCAACACAGTCTATAGCATCAACCTCTGAGAAAGGGTCCTGGGGTTCCTCCCCGCCCACCCTCAGTCAGGCCAACCAGGAGCTCCCGAGTGAAGGATGTTATCTCTGTTTTACTGGTCAAAGCTTGAGGTGAAGTACTTACAAGCCAAAGATGTATAGGAAAGGAGACAGAACTACTGACTTTTTTGTAGTTGACAAATACTTTTTATCACTTTAGTGTATTTGACACTTGCTTTTATAACCCAAAACTTGTTTTCATTTGATCAAATTTCTTTCACTGCAGAATCTCAACAATCTCTGGATAGATGTTCTGACCCATTTTATACAAGTTTCCAAATTAAGTTATCCTGGCCAATTTTTCAATTCTGTGAAGGGTGTCACCCAGTAATGAGTACTGTGAATCCATGTCACACAGTGGAATCAGTGCTACATAGATGTTTATGACAATTTGTGTCTTCCTTGTGTCAACACTGAACTCTCTGGTCTTTGCTTACTCTTACTCAGACCTTAAGGAACACTTAATGAGTGGGTAATGAGGTACGATAAAGTTATTTTGAAAGGGAACTGCAAATTTATTTTTAAAAAATTTTAAAAACCCACAAAAAAAATCAAATGTCTAAGTATCACTCCCCCATCTAAAAACAGTAAAGATAACCTGACTGAGGTTTACCAAAGAAAGCACATACTGAAAAAACATACATCATAGCCGGGCTCTGTGGCTCAGCCTGTAATCCTATGCTTTGGGAGGCTGAGGTGAGTGGATTGCCTGAGCTTGCAGGTTCGAGACCCACCTGGGCAACTTGGCAAGACTTCATCTCTACAATAAATCAAAAAATTAGCAGGGCGTGGTAGCGTGCACCTGTAGTTCCAACTACTTGGAAGGCTGAGGAGGAAGGATCACCGGAGCCTAGCAGGTCGAGGCTGCGGTGGCAACAGAGTGAGACTCCAATTCAAAACAACAACAACAACAAAAATACATCATTAAAACTGAGGAAGCATCAGTGTCATCAGCCAGCACAAGACTTATCACAAACACTAAGAAATTTGTGCCAGATATAATGCAGATAGGAGCCAGAATATATATAAATCAATTGATATGAAGTTTGTAATTAACTTTAAAATAATTTAGTTGGCTTGGTAAGGAAGTAGCAATAGGGGTATTTAAAAGTAAAAGTAGTCATCAGTTATTAAATTTTGAAGCTGGATGTTAGGTGTATGAAATTCATTTTACAATTTTCTCTACTTTTGTGTATGTTTGGCATTTTTCATAAAATATAACTAGAAAATAGTTTAGGTGAGATGAAGTTGTAAGGAATCAACAAAAGGAAATCCACACAATACAAATGTGTCCTTTTATTACACATGAAAAATAGCAACTAATCTCAAAATCATGAACAAAAATAAACAAATTAACCTTAATAATGAAAAATGAAAGCAATTCTAAATAATGCCAGATCAAAAGGGAAATCAAGACTACAAAATGAAATTACTAAACATCAACAAAATTGTGATAATGACAACAGTTCATGTCACAACTTAAGGAATTTGATCAAATCTGTACTTAGAGAAAAAGTAATAGCCTCAAAGTTCTTTTACTACCTAAGAAGACAAGTTGAAAATAAATGAAGTAAGCATTCAGTTAAATACATCTGAAAGGGAGCAACAGGGCATAATAAAAAATATGAAATAAAGGTGGGCATTAAAAGAGATAAAATGCAAATCAATGAATGAGAAAAGATAATCTAAGAAGTCAGGAAGAAAGGCAGAAAACACAAAAATGATGGTTGGGAATGGGAACTGTATCTATTCACTGCATGATTTGTAGAAAAATATTAACTGCCAAAGGACAAGGCAGAATATTACAATAGACCAATACTCATACAATAAAATGAAAGTATATTTGAAGATCACACTTCCCTTCCTACTTTCACCTACAGAAGTGTATTAGATGACTTTGTAGGTGACTCTCATCAAATGTTGAAGGAATAGAAAATTATTGTTTCTTAAACTTTTGTTAATTTCCCTAGGACATGGAACAATATGACACACTTCTCAACCCATTTTCTTTCTGGAATAATTCATATTCCAACAATTGGTTAAGCTACTGAACAAAGGAAAAACCACAGGGGCATCTCATTAAAGAATATGGATGACAACTCTAAAAATAATTACAAAGCAAGTTTAGGATGATAATAAAAGCATAATATGCCATCATCAAATGGAGTGTATTCTAGAAATAATGAATCCAATATAAAAGTACTTATATGTTTAATTCTTCTAACAATAGATCAAATGATGGTATACATTTAGTTATTGCAATAAATTACAAAAATACATTTACCCTAATATTGATTGTATTAACATCTATTTCTTATAAAACTTGGAAAGAAAGTGTTCTAATATTTATATATATGTATACATATATCAATTAATCTTAGACAAGAGGATGAGAAGTTTTATATTCTGTATATACGCATGCACATGTATACACATATATATGTGTGTGTGTATGTGTAACAAACAAATAGTTCATTTAATCGCAGTAAACTTAAGTTGGAAAAACAAAAAGGTTTTATGTCTACTGTTCATTCGTTTTGACTGACACTGAGGCCCATCAGTTTTCTGTAGGAAAACATGTTTGAACGGAGGAGCAATATGTACTCTATGAAGACTCCAATGGGATTTTTATTTTTAACATGACAAAATCATTTGCCATTCAACAGGAAGAATAAGTAGACAAGAATCATCAAGAACAGAGAGTCAGAATTTCTTTTGGCATATGTGGGAATACACTATAACATTAAAACTTATAATTGGATCAATGTAGAAAGGAATCAAGATATGTAGATTTTAATAATAATGGCATTTCAAATCATTAGATAAAAGGTGGACTATTTAGTGTCTTGTTTGTTACAGGAACACTCCTCAGGAATTATGAAGATAGTATTTTGTGTAATAGGTTGTGAAATTATGTTAAACATAATTGTTTATAAGAAAACTACAAGAAGGGTTTAGCATATTTTAATATCACACAGCAGTATAATTGTGTTTATGGCAATATTCTAATTCACCTAAAGAATTTGACCAAGGTTATTTTCTTATAGTACTGTGGATTAATAATAATATAAAAAAAGAACTTAACATAGCACTTATTTGGCACAAGGCACTTTTCTGAGCTGTTGAGATATGTTGATTCATCATCTCAACAATCGTGTGAGATGGTACTATTATTCTTCGCCATTCAGTATAACGAGGAACCTTCAGTGCAGCATGGTTATGCCACTTCTCCAGGGTCAGATGTCTAACAAGTGAGAGAGCTGAAATTGCAACTCAGGCAGTCTGGCTCCAGATTGTATATTACACTGTCTGTCCTTGGAATGAGCTGTCTATGCAAACTCGGAAGTTGTTCATCCTTCGGTCTCTGACGTGTCTTTTTGCTTTACTCAGGGACCTGATGCCGAGAACCCTGGAAGGGCAGATCACCATGGAGAAGACGCCCAGCTACTTCGTCACGCGGGAGGCGCCCGCGCGCATCTCGGCCATGTCCAAGGACACCAAGCTCATCGTGGTGGTGCGAGACCCCGTGACCAGAGCCATCTCGGACTACACGCAGACGCTGTCCAAGCGGCCCGACATCCCCACCTTCGAGAGCTTGACGTTCAAAAACAGAAGCACGGGCCTCATCGACACGTCGTGGAGCGCCATCCAGATCGGCATCTACGCCAAGCACCTGGAGCACTGGCTGCGCCACTTCCCCATCGGCCAGATGCTCTTCGTGAGCGGCGAGCGGCTCATCAGCGACCCGGCCGGCGAGCTGGGCCGCGTGCAGGACTTCCTGGGCCTCAAGAGGATCATCACGGACAAGCACTTCTACTTCAACAAGACCAAGGGCTTCCCCTGCCTGAAAAAGGCCGAGGGCAGCAGCAAGCCCCACTGCCTGGGCAAGACCAAGGGCAGGCCCCACCCCGAGATCGACCGCGAGGTGGTGCGCCGGCTGCGCGAGTTCTACCGGCCTTTCAACTTGAAGTTCTACCAGATGACCGGGCACGACTTTGGCTGGGATGGGTGACGATATAATTTAAAAAGAAAAAAAAAATATCAAGATATAATATATTTTTTTACCAATTGGTAGAGAAAAGGCAGTTTAATATTTGTGCTGAAAATATTTGTTTCAGTTTTTTTTTCAATGAATGTTAAGAGATTGTTCTCGCCCACGCACCATTTTCATGTATAACCAACACCAAACACTTGGATAAACAGAAAAGGAAAACTTCGCTCCTCCAAATACTTTCAACTTTTATTTTATGTTCTATGTACCCAGTCATAAAGTATAAGCATCTGCTACCATTAACATGTTTAGGAAAACCCTGAGGGTAAATAAATCTCTCTCTACTCTTTCTCTGTCTCTCGGCTCTCTTCTCTCTCTCTCTCTCTCTCTGTCTGTCTCTGTCTTTCTATTAAATATAAGGTCCTGATAAAATTGATATTTGTTCTTGTTTTTTTCTCCTTTTTTTCCCACATCACTTTTTAAAAAATCATTTCCCGGTTAATAATACTGACAGTTTGTACACCAGCACGCCACAGCTTTCATTGCACTTTTAAATACTACGTATTTTGATCCTTAAAATAAAATTAAAAAAAAAAATTGCTATGTGGTATAAGAGCATAGTATATAGAGATTATTGTCTCCATTTTACAGATAAGGCAAACTGAGTCTTCAAGGAGGGTAAAGACTTACCTTAGGCCAGATGGTGAACCCTGGACAAAGCCTCATATTCCATTTCATTCCCTATTTTATTTCATGCCACCTTTTCCAGGGATAGCAAGAAATAAGATATCTGCACATTTAGAAATGGTTAACTACTTTTGGGATGATCTAAAAAGGAACATAAGATTTTCTATTGCTCAATTCCAGGCTACGCTTGATTATGTCTAGTCTCATTACGTTGATGTGCTCAAGGAAACCACTCAGATCTGGACATAATCTCTCTATGCTTTTTTTTTTTTTTTAATTTGGAGTCTCACTCTGTCACCCAGGCTGGAGTGCAGTGGCTCAGGAGATCCTTCCGCCTCAGCCTTCCAAGTAGCTGGAACTATAGGCATGCGCTACCACGTCCGGCTAATTTTTTGATGTATTGAGGAGGTCTCATCAAGTTTCCCAGGCTGGTCTCGAATCCCTGGGCTAACGCAATCCTCTCACCTTGGATGCCAAAGTGCTAGGATTACAGGCTTAAGCCAATCATGATTCTTGACTGATTAAAGTGCCCTGAGATGTGGTAGGAACATAACTTACCTGTTTGTTGATTTGACTGTCTTAAAAAGAAAAAAATCCACTTCTATTAGAGCACATAAGTGTGAATCTCATTTTCTTTGCCTCTTTTTTTAATAAGGAAAATCTACCTTTCTTTATAATGTTCCACTTTTAACTTTGGAGTTAATACTAAACAAAAAAATTCATTAATAATTTGTTTACAGTGCTCTCACTTTTCATGGGTGGAAGACTATCACTTGGTCACTTTATTGTTTTCCTCATTTCTTATTTGTACCAATTATAATCTAGTGTTCATTAATATTTAATATTTGGAAAATATTCTAGGAAATGCATCTGTGGGTAAAATGGTGACTTTTATCTCATCTCTTCCCACCCATCCCCCATTTAAATAGCTCAAATAAATCAATAGTTTATTAAGAGTTTTTCTTTCCTCTCTGAGTGGGTATTAACAAGATTAGCATTAATGGGAATTAAATTGGTTTAGAGAGAACCACATATGCACGAAATATATAAAACATTTATAATTAGTCTGTCAGCAACATTTTATTACAGGTTTAAGCCCAAGAAGAAAATGTCTCCTATTTCATGGACATTTTCTTTATCTGCCAAAATTTAAAGAACCAGACACTCTAAAAGTGTAACTAAAGTTGTGTTAAAATATGCTGTACAATTGTGCATTTACCATAGATGCTTCATTGGGTGATGTAAATATTTCTTGAGAAATTTAACATAGAATTAAAATGAAGGGGAAAAAAATCTTTCAAATTCTAGGTATGTTGTCATTGCTCCAAATCTTAGGACTTATTTGTTAATATTCCATTTATGGGAGTTTAGTAAACCCCAAATCCAGGTCACCTTTTTCCAGTGGATTTTTTTCGTGTCTGTGCCCTCAAATTCCCATTATTTGTTCTACTTGAATCATCATTAGCTGCAACAAGATACTCATTGTAAACTCTTCTCATCATTTCTCTTAGCTCATTTTGTTTTTGTTTTGTTTTGCATTATGCAAAAGTGGCTCGTATAGAGAAACAATTGCATTCAGCAACCTTTTTGTATGTATGAAAGAAATAATAAAAACAAAATCGAGTGCAAAGGATTTCTTCTTGCACATTGATATTTTTGTTCATATTATTTTAAACATGAATACAGAATGATACAGGAAAAACTTCAAATTTCTATGACTTTGTATTAGAAGTTATAGATCCCAGCAAAATGTATAAATGTCTAGAGTCAGTATTCTCTGACAGCAATATTCATTCATTTCTGCCTCTATCTGCTACTCATCCTTGCTATTCATGGACTTGGCCTCACACTTACTTTGTTCATTTAGTTACACTAAATAATAGGCCTTGATCTTGATTGGAACATGTTAGCCACCATCTTGTGAGCTGTCTGCTCCAAAGCAAGTCCTACCAACCCCCCTCACTTTTCTTAGAGTTAGAGCATTGTCTTTCAAAAAGAATATCCAGAAACGAACTACTGCCTCATTCTGAGCAGTTTGCTTCTGAGGTCACAGCTACAGTGTGTACATTCTCCAAATAGCATAGTCACTTTTAAGAGAAATTAATTTTATTCTTATAACTGGAGATTAACCAGCTCCTAGAGAATGAATATGTATTTTCTAGGAGCATTAACCCCACTCTAATTTTCTTATTTTCAAAGTATCATCAAAGCAACAACAAACCTCAGTGATAATTTGTATCAAATTTCCATTCAGCACTTGAATTCTTTCTTTAGCTGATTGTGCAGGGTTTAAAGCATTGATGTATCTGTAAATTCTTAACTCTTGATTTTGCATTTTAAAAATGATACATTTTTCCTAAACATCTTCATCATATTCTGCCACCTGAGACCTGTCAAATCTCCTATTCCCCATGAAAATAATCATAAATTCAATGTATGAAAGAATAAATATGTCTATAAAATAATAATGCTTTCTAGTCATGTAGCAAACTACTTTTCAAATGCATTATTTCACCTTAAACTGACAACAGCAGCTTTCCACTCTCATTAGTTCCACTTTACAGATGAGAAAACTAAGGTTCAACACACTAGGTTCTCAACAACAACAACTATAAAAAACTATTTTGTATCCTGGGACAATGTCTGGAGATAAGAGATAAGTGTCTGCCACAACCAGTTCTAAATGCCAGGTACTAATTAATGCTGGCCTAGTAATTCTTTCAGCTACAATTTTTTCTTTTGAAAATCTTTCTCTCTGTAACAAGTGACTCCATTATAATAAGCAGATCAATGCTTACTGTTGTGCTTTGCTGAGAGGTGTGCTAAAGGGAACCGAGTTGGGTTTTTACAATGCAGATACAGGAGCAGCTTGTCACAAATGGATAACTGCATTTCTGAGAAGTGGACTCAGTTTCAGGTTGAAAAACAACATTCCAAAAAAAATTTCTAAGGACTCATTCAAGTTCAAGTCTTTCAGTTTCAATTTGCCTCCACAACAGAGCCATGACAGTATTTCTTCTCGTCACCTGACAAAATCAACATTCCTAGAGAGAGAAACAAAATCTCCATTTCTGTTAAACAGCTACATTCAGATGGATGTGCTATGGTCACAATTAGCCTCAAGTTGCTGAGTAATAGCAGAGAAAGCAAATTCCTGCTGTCACATATCCTAAAAACCCCAGAATTTTGTGCCTAATTTCCATAGACTCAGAGAAGAAAAGAGCTTATGGTTCCCAAAGGTAGGAAAAGTGTTGCTGAGATTCAGTCCAATGCAAACCTTGGTATAGAAATAAAAGACCCTACTTTTTCTCCTATTTCATGTAATCACTGAAGAAGCATGAGACTGCAAAAACTCAAAACTCAAGCCCTTTTAGTGAAGCATGGGTGTTGTTGTAGAATGTGTGGTCTTTGACATATCTTCATCAATGCACAAACAGAAGAACATGGATAGAAAAGTTATAAACCCATTTGTCACATAATGAAATGCTAGAATGGCAGGCCTTTCTAAAGCTTGAAAAAGAAAGAATTTAGGAAAATTATGAGGCAGTACAACATTAAACACGAAGCAATAAAATAATAGATTTTAGTTATGGCAGGAGAAAATAAAACTGAAAATAGAAATTGCTTCTAATATATAGATCCATTGTGGGATATTAGGAAATGTTAGTATGTTTCAGGCAATAACCCAGATTTTTAGTTTAATTTCCAACTGTTGGTTGTGTTATTTTAATAGCATTATGCTGAACAACTTACTCTCCTCTAGTTTTACTGTCAAATAAAAGGCAGCAATAAATGGGGACCACACATTCTGTCATGAGTCCTTTCCACCCCAAAACATCTAGGTGTGATATTTTAGGTGCATCTGAAGGATCAGATAGGATGAGATGTGGTGTCCTTCACTAACTATGCCTGGATGGTGCATGACTAGGTTAGATTTCTAGCTGGGTGCTAACTTTGATTTTTCCCATGAAGGTTTTTTGAGTTACTCTCTAATCTGCACATTGGCCAGCTATGCTTCATGTTCTCCAGGTCTCTCCCAAAGTCAATTTATAGAAAACCTAGAGTGTTTTCCACCCCTCGGGTCTTGTCTTCATTGCAAATACATAGGAGTGATGTGTCTTTTCCCCTCCAATCTTCCAGCTCCTTGCTTCCTCACTTTCTGGTCTGTGACTAGTGATCTTTGCTATCCCAGCTTCTACTGACCCAAGTTCTTCCTTGTCTTTAAATGCAACATGCTCAATGATGTTCATTTTTTACTTCAGATTCCTAGGAAAAACTTTGTGATCCACCTGGGGAAATTCTCTGCTTTCAGCTTCAGCTGTAGAAAAAATGGTCGGAACATCTGATGTACATATCCAAAGACATGAAGGTCAAATAAGTTTAACTTTCCCCAAGAGTAGTTATACTAAGAAAAAAAGGTCCAAAGGAAGTTGGATGAAACAGAATGTGAAAGTATGCAGGCCCATTTGACATGGGAGAAGAAGGTGTTGTTGGAAGGGTACTTACCTGGCTTCTGGTGCCCCAACCTTTCACTGCTACCCTGAACCAGGGGCAGCAACTTGGCCTTCCACTCCTGAAAGGTTATTTGCCTTTGGTCTGGGCAGTGGCATTTTCTCCCACCTG